CGGGCCACACGCTCGGTGGGACTGCTGAGGGCGCCCCGGTGCTCCGGCCCGAGAGGGGGCTGGGGCCGGACTTTTTCGGTCTGCGGGACTGCGCAGGAAGCTCCGGGCTGGAGGGGAAAGCGGGCAGGCAGGAAAAGAAGCGACCCCCCACCCTCCATCTCCAGGATGCCCCATGGGGGGCGGAGTCTCAACATTGGCCTTCCTGGCAGTCAGGGCGGGGAGGCGGGGGTCCCGCATTCCCACCCAATGCGGAGTCAGTGCGGTCGGTCCCAAGCTCGCACTAGAGCCGAGGGGGGACTCCCTCTCCCCCTTCAGGCCCTCGGCGCTGGACTCCCGGTGCCATTGTGGCCAGAGCCTGCCTGGGGCTGCAGTACCCTGGCCTCACCCACTCTTAACTGCCCACACTTCCGGGCCTGCCCTTCCACCCCTCCAGCTTTCCCCCTGTTCACACCCTCGTCCTCTACTCGGCCTGCACGGTGGGGGTGGCTGCTGGGGAGGCCTGGTGGGACAGTGAAAAGCTTAATCTGCCGTCCTGGGGCCTGCTTGGCCCAGTGAGAGGGCTCCATTTGCACCGTGATGGGCGCGGAGATGGGAGGTACAGGGCATCCACCCCAAGGCAGCATGTCAGGGTCAGGCCGGGCAGGGGCCCTAAAGTGAGGTTGCTCTTACCCTCCCCAATGAACACCTGGAGCTAAATGGAGAGTGAGTGTGCTTTTTGGATTCCCTGAGACTCTAGGTGGGCCTGGCCTTTGGGCAGTGGGCACTTGTCTGCCTATGCCTCTTGATCTCTCCAGGGAGCCACAGGAAGTGGCTGAGGTACGCCTATGGACATGGTGAAGGTGGGGCCCCCAGAAGTGGACCAGGGCAGCTACCCCCTGCCTGGGCTGCTAGGCACTTGGGTCGGCCCTTTACCAGGGTCCCTGCAGTGAGAATTGTCAGGCGTACTGGCCACTGCAGAAGAAAAGATGGGACCGCCTGGGACTGTGTGATGGGATGCACCAGAGGGTGCCTAGAAGTGGACTGTGACCCTGAGCTCTTGGCCCTTGCTCTCACCTTGCGGGGACATTCAGGGATTCCTGGACACAACCTAGGAGCTTTTAGGGGAGCTTTTGGGATTCCCCCAGACCCACAGGCAAGAGGTTGTCCGGCCCAGGCCACTGCTGATTTCCAGTTGTCACTGAGACAGGATGTGTATGGGAAGCCAGTTTTCCAGCTGCTCCTTCATTCCATGAGCTTAAGACTCCCCCAGGGGTTTCTGACACGGGCTGAAGACTCGTGTTCCTAACCGCTCCCAGGTGAAACCACTCAGGGTAGGCTCCTTGGAGCCAGGATCTGCCCCACGGCCAGCCATTCAGGCAGGACTGTTCTGGGAGGCTGGAAGCAAGGCTCTGTGATCCATAGGCAGGCACGGGCTTTGGAGAATGAGTCTTGGACTAATCCACGGTTTGTTGGTTGTGTTTTCTTAAGCAAGTCACTTGACCACTCTGAACCTCAGTGTCTTCCTTGGACACATAGTCCTCCAAAGCGGAGCACCAGGGAGAGTGAAGATGAATAAGGACAGACAGAAAATGGCGGCCTTAATAGAGTCAGCCCAGTGTGCATAGTTGAGATGAATCCACCGGCAGGACCTGTGGAGTAGACCAGCCTTATTGCTACAGGGCTAGTGTTGTATCCCTGGCTGGTGACATTTGAAGGTATCGGTAGGGGCACTGAAAAGGCAAAAATACTTCACGTGAGCTGTACCCGTCCGAGATGGGCACCAGCGGTGGGCAGAATGTGCATGGAAAGGCCAGTATGTGCCCACTGCACCAGGCTTAGAAGCACCCCATTTCCTTCTCAGGCCACAGTTCTACAAGGTGTCCAGCCATGCTGGTGTGTGCGTGAATCTAGAAGGCAGCCGTGTCATGGCTGTTGCGGGTGCACATTTTTATGGGTGCACACACAGATTTGGCGGTCTAGGGCCATTACAAAGCAAATAATGCATTTAGTTTGGGACTCTGCTTGTCCCAAACCACATTTGGAAAGAGACGGTGTACTGTGTCCTCCGAAGGGGATGTCACACATGAGGCAGGACCAGGGGCCGCACCAGCAAGGCCTCAGGAATGAGAGCTCACCTCCTCTGGTCCCTCGTAGGGGCTTTGGGTCCCCTCCTGAGTGTGTGTTGGTGCCATGTGTGGGCTGTGCATTCAGTCTAATGGCACATTTGATATCAGGAGCAGAAGACGTGAAATCAAGCAAGACAAGAGACGTAGTTGGAGGCACATTAAAATGCAGCATTTAAACAAGCAAGCTTCCTGAACCTGTATGTATCCTTCAGAGTGGGAATTTAAAAAATAAAACCTCAACCAGAGGAATTCCATTCTCTCCACTGCAGCATTGTTAACCATTTTCTGTTGGGAAGGGCTGGACCCCAGGTAGACTGGGGAGGGGGCTGTGTCCCCTCTGAGACACCCAGTTCTATAATTAATTAGAGGCGCCTGTTGTCCTTGTCAGCCTCACTCAGCAATGGTGGTGATATTTTTTGGTTCTAACCACCCGCGGGAGGACTTCGGGTCAACACCAGGGTAAATCCAGTTTCGTTAGGGCTCTGGCATTTGATAGGAGCTCATGGGAGTTGGGCCTGGGACTCACTATGTGTCCACTAGTGTGGCCTTCCTTTGGCTCTTCTGACTGCTCAGCCCACCACCAGTGTCACACTTAGGGACACCATGGGCACTTGCTACATGGGAGCAGCTCGGCTCCCTGCCAGGCCACCCCAGGGGATGGGCCCCCTGTGTATCTGGCCCCTCCTGGGGACCCTGAGGCCACTACCCTCTGGTGCATTGCACCAGCAGGAGGTAGGACTGACGCTGGTCACCTTTCAGAGCAAGAAGGGCTTTATCGGACACCAGAACAACAGCAAGATGTCCTGGATACCTTGTCTGGGCAGCATCGAAGGCAGGTATCACAAAATAGGAGGAAAAAACCCCCAGCTCACAAGATGGGATCTTGTCACAGTAATTACTTTATTATTAAACTGCAGTGTCCTATAAAAGAAAATCTTATCAGTCCGTCCGATTGAGAAGCTGGTAAATTGCTCTGGGGAAGAGAGATGTAAGTGCCTCAAGTATGGTACAAGGGAGCATGGGTACGGAGGGAAACAGCAGGCGGGTGCTGGCTGGCAGGAAGGACCTGGGCCTTCTAAGGGGTGCACTGTAAGTTCTGTTGATTTTCCTGCCTCCGTGTACTTAAGGAATAGTCTCCATGGCCGTGGCCAACATCGTCAGCCCCCCGAAGTTGCTGTGGAAGATGTAGCAGATCCTTTGAGTCTCGGGGCTTTGGGGAGTTGTTGATAAGCATGTTTCCAGGGGGAGTGGAGCCAAGGGACTTGGGTGTCTGTTCTGAGATTCATTAGGAGGCTCTCTTATTAAGAATCGTTCCCTCCTTGCCTAGGGTGGGAACACTGCTAATCACAGCAATTTTTAATAAGGATTAATTACCGTAGCCGACGTAACACTGCTTCTCACGCCTTCCTCACACTCCGGGAGTTCAGTCTCAGTTGCCCGAGCTGTGGGTGCATCACTAGCGGGCTTGGTGTGACTCCAGGAGCCCTGTTGGAGACGCATTCACAGCGACACCGCACAGGTCACTGGTGAGTAGCCCATGGCCGGCAGCGTGGAAGGCACAGAGCGGCATTGTGTCCCCTGCACCTTCAGGATGTTGCAGTCCGGATCCTCTGCCTTGCTCGGAACCAGAGTCGCCCTGTGACCTGGAAAATTTAACCAAACAAGCAGTTATGGTCTCTCTAAACTAATCCTCCTGCTGGCACTGTGCCCTCACCCCCAGGACCATTAAGGACAAAGACTGGCCTTGTCACAGCCATCCGCACCAGTGAACCACCTTGACCGGAAGAGCTGACACAGTCCGGTTAGGTCTGCGGGTTCTCCCCGTCTTTCACACCCTGCTCCTGTTTGTCCAGAATCTATTGAGGCTGAACTCTGTGCGTGAAAAGTAGGGGGAACCGAGGTGCAGAGAGGTCCCAGAACGTGCTGTCACAAAGCCACTGAAAAGCAGAGCCTGGCTCCCAGATCGGGCGGCTCAGGTCCCAGCCTAATGAATAATGAGGAGAGAAACTCCCCTTCCGCCCCTCTCAGCCACTTTCTCGACCAGATGCGAAAGAAAGGGTCTCAGCAGAAGCCGCTACATAGCTTGAGCTCTTTCTTGGCTTTCCTGCGGCTCTCGCCTGGGACT